TAGTGGCGTCGGGGTGGGGGGCAATAGTGGCGTCGTGGTGGGGGCAATAGTAGCGTCGTGGTGGAGGGCGCAATATTAGCGTCGTGGTGGGGGAGGGGGGCGGTAGTACCGTCGTGTTGGGGGAGGGGCGCAATAGTACCGTCGTGTTGGAGGGGCGCAATGGCGCGTCGGGGTGGGGCAATAGTAGCGTCGTGGTGGGGGGAGGGGGCAATAGTATCGTCGTGGTGGGGGGCAATAGCAGCGTCGTGGTGGGAGGAGCCAATAGTAGCGTCGGGGTGGGGGCAATAGTAGCGTCGTGGTGGGGGAGAGGCAAGTATCGTCGTGGTGGGGGAGGGGGCAATAGTAGCGTCGTGGTGGGGGAGGGGCAATAGTAGTGTCGTGGTGGGGAGGGGCAATAGTACCGTCGTGGTGGTGGGTGGGGAGGGGCAATAGTAGCGTCGTGGTGGGGGAGGGCAATAATGTATACCGTCATGGTGGGGCCGTCGTGGTGGGGAGGGGCTATAGTACCGTCGTGGTGGGGAGGGAGGGGCTATAGTAGCATTCGTGGGGTGGGGAGGGCTATAAGCGTCGTGGTGGGGAGGGCTATAGTACCGTCGTGGTGGGGAGGGCTATAGGACCGTCGTGGATTAAGGGGGCTATAGTACCGTCGTGGTGGAGGGGGGCTATAGTAGCGTCGTGGTGGGGGAGAGGGGGCCTATAGTACCGTCGTGGTGGGGGAGGGGGCTATAGTACCGTCGTGGTGGGGGAGGGCTATAGGTACCGTCGTGGTGGGGAGGCTATAGTACCGTCGTGGTGGTGGGAGGGGCTATAGTACCGTCGTGGTGGGGGAGGGGGCAAATTGCCGTCGTGGTGGGGAAGGGGGGCTATAGTACCGTCGTGGTGGGGAGGGCTATAGTACCGTCGTGGTGGGGGAGGGGCATAGTACCGTCGTGGTGGGGAGGGCTATAGTACCGTCGTGGTGGTGGGAGGGGCTATAGTATCGTCGTGGTGGGGAGGGCTATAGTACCGTCGTGGTGGGGAGGGGCTATAGTACCGTCGTGGTGGGGAGGGGCTATAGTACCGTCGTGGTGGTGGGAGGGGGCTATAGTACCGTCGTGGTGGGGTGAGGGCTATAGTACCGTCGTGGTGGGGGGAGGGGGCCTATAGTACTGCTCGTGGTGGGGGAGGGCTATAGTGCAGTCGTGGTGGTGGGAGGGGCTATAGTACCGTCGTGGTGGGGAGGGGCTATAGGCCATCGTGGTTGGAGGAGGGGGCTATAGTATCGTCGTGGTGGGAGGGCTATAGTACATCGTGGTGGGGAGGGCTATAGTACCGTCGTGGTGGGGGAGGGGCTATAGTACCGTCGTGGTGGGGGAGGGGTATAATGCATCGTGGTGGGGTGAGGGGGGGCTATAGTACCGTCGTGGTGGGGGAGAGGGGGCTATAAATACCGTCGTGGTGGGGGGAGGGGCTATAGTATCGTGGTGGTGGGAGGGTTATAGTACCGTCGTGGTGGGGTGAGGGGGCTATAGTACCGTCGTGGTGGGGAGGGCTATGGTACCGTCGTGGTGGGGAGGGCTATAGTACTCGTGGTGGGGTGAGGGGGCTATAGTACCGTCGTGGTGGGGAGGGGGCTATGTGCATCGTGGTGGGGAAGGGGGGGTTATAGTAGCGTCGTGGTGGGAGGGTCTATGTGCCGTCGTGGGGGAGGGCTATAGTAGCGTCGTGGTGGGGAGGGGGCTATAGTACCGTCGTGGTGGGGGGGAGGGCTATAGTAGCGTCGTGGTGGGGGAGGGGCTATAGTACCGTCGTGGTGGGGGAGGGGGCTATAGTACCGTCGTGGTGGGGAGGGCTATAGTAGCGTCGTGGTGGGGGAGGGCTATAGTAGCATCGTGGTGGGAGGGGCTATAGTAGCGTCGTGGTGGGGGGAGGGCTATAGTAGCGTCGTGTTGGGGGAGGGCTATGGTAGCGTCGTGGTGGGGGAGGGGCTATAGTACCGTCGTGGTGGGGGAGGGCTATAGTAGCGTCGTGTTGGGGGAGGGGGCTATAGTACCGTCGTGGTGGATGAGGGGCTATAGTATCGTCGTGGTGGGGGAGGGGCTATAGTACCATCGTGGTGGGGAGAGGCTATAGTAGCGTCGTGGTGGGGAGGGCTATAGTACCGTCGTGGTGGGGAGGGCTATAGTAATCGTGGTGGGGAGGGCTATAGTAGCGTCGTGGTGGGGAGGGGGCTATAGTACCGTCGTGGTGGGGAGGGGCTATAGTAGCGTCGTGGTGGGGGGAGGGGGCTATAGTACCGTCGTGGTGGGGGAGGGGCTATAGTAGCGTCGTGGTGGGGAGGGGGCTATAGTACCGTCGTGGTGGGGGGAGGGCTATAGTACCGTCGTGGTGGGAGGCTATAGTACCGTCGTGGTGGGAGGGCTATAGTACGCATCGTGGTGGGGGAGGGCAATAGTACCGTCATGGTGGGGAGGGGGCCTTAGTTCCGTCGTGGTGGGGGAGGGGCTAATAAACTGTCGTGGTGGGGGAGGGGGCTATAGTATCGTCGTGGTGGGGAGGGGGCTATAGTACCGTCGTGGTGGGAGGGGCCTTAGTTCCGTCGTGGTGGGGGAGGGGGCTATAGTACCGTCGTGGTGGGGGGGAGGGCTATAGTAGCGTCGTGGTGGGGGAGGGCTATAGTAGCGTCGTGGTGGGGGAGGGGGCTATAGTACCGTCGTGGTGGGAGGGGCTATAGTACCGTCGTGGTGGGGGAGGGCTATAGTAGCGTCGTGGTGGGGGAGGGGGCTATAGTACCGTCGTGGTGGGGGGAGGGGCTATAGTAGCGTCATGGTGGGGAGGGCCTTAGTTCCGTCGTGGTGGGGAGGGGCTATAGTATCGTCGTGGTGGGGGAGGGCTATAGTACCGTCGTGGTGGGGGAGGGGGCCTTAGTTCCGTCGTGGTGGGGAGGGGGCTATAGTACCGTCGTGGTGGGGGAGGGGCTATAGTAGCGTCGTGGTGGGGAGGGCATAGTACCGTCGTGGTGGGGGTGAGGGGGCTATAGTAGCGTCGTGGTGGGGGAGGGGGCTATAGTACCGTCGTGGTGGGGAGGGCTATAGTAGCGTCGTGGTGGGGAGGGCTAGTACCGTCGTGGTGGGAGGGGCTATAGTAGCGTCGTGGTGGGGGGAGGGGGCTATAGTAGCGTCGGTGGGGGGAGGGGGGGCCTATAGTACCGTCGTGGTTGGGGGAGGGGGCTATGTAGCGTCGTGGTGGTGGGAGGGCGCCATAGTAGCTGTCGTGGTGGGGAGGGGGCAGGTAGCGTCGTGGTGGGGGGAGGGGGCTATAGTAGCGTCGTGGTGAGTTATGTGGCCACTGTATCATCTTCACGCATCACCGGTCATCTTCCCACCCGCCAACAATAACAACAACAACATCAGTTGCTTTATCAGTCCGTTCCACGCCGAGGCTTCTTATTGGCTGGACTGAGGTAACCAAGGCGGCCGCTGATTGGCTAGTTGTAGTCCTGTGGGAGGGAGATGCGCTTGAGGGAGCTTAACTCAAGCTCACTGCTTCTCCCCCTCTTGATTTTACGCACTCCACCTAATTATACGCTATACTGTCCTTAATGTAGGTTCTTGTGATGCTGTTTGATATGTTGAGAGAGAGAAAATGGATCTTTATCAGGGGTAACTAAGGCGTTAAGGAGAGTTAGTGTCATGAGGTCTGGGCTCTTAATGACCTCTCACCAGGACTGTGACTCACATACTGTGTCATTTATCTTAGCAATAGTGATGAGGCAACAAGCCGGCTGCACCCTGCTGTCACCTTCTTCCACCCCACCCGGTACTTACTGTCAAGGACTGGGCTAGATAGAGGACTGTTGTGGACTGCCCTTGAGCCAGATGAGGACTGTTTTTGAGCCAGATGAAGGAACTGTCTGTAAGCCAACTGTGGGGGAGGGGGGGTGGTGTATTGAACAGTGAGTTCATTCACGATTCTACGTTTCAGTATGTTACAGTGTGATAATATGAAGATTATACTTAGGTTTTATTCTAAAGACACTGAATTAATGCTACTTACACAATATAATGGGATTCCAATTCAATTTCCCACCTAGTTTAATTACCTCAAATTCTAACTTAATTTCACCTAGCTTGAAGCTAGTTTAATCCAACGTACCTAACCCAACTGGCCTCTACCTAGGTATCTTGAGGATTCAACATAATACTTAGAACATGTTCCTCGGTTGGTGTAGTATCAGGTACCTGCCTGGTTGTGTACATTAGTAAGTGGTGGTGGTGTAAATTCTAGTGTGTTGCTCAGGTGTGGGTTTTGCTGTCTGGTAGGTGTGTGTTTAGCTAGTTCAGGTGTGGCTTTTGTTCAGGTATGGTTTTGTGTTGTTCAGGTGTGTGGCTCTAGTTGTTCAGGTGTGGGTTTTAGTTGTTTCAGTGTGTGCAGTTCAGGTATGGTTTCTAGTTGTTCAGGTGTGGCTCTAGTTGTTCAGGTGTTCTAGTTGTTCAGGTGTGGCTCTTATTGTTCAGGTGTGTCTCTTAGTTGTTCAGGTGTGTCTCTAGTTGTTCAGTGGCTTTTAGTTGTTCAGGTGTGGCTTGTTGTTCAGGTGTGGCTCTAGTTGTTCAGGTGTGGGCTTGTGTTGTTCGCGGGTGTGCTCTAGTTGTTCAGGTGTGTTCTAGTTGTTCAGGTGTGTCTCTAGTTGTTCAGGTGTGTCTCAGTTGTTGTGTGGCTTAGTTGTTCAGGTGTGGCCTAGTTGTTCAGGTGTGGCTCTAGTTGTTCAGGTGTGTTCTAGTTGTTCAGGTGGTGTTCTAGTTGTTCAGGTGTGTCTCTATTGTTCGGTGTGGCTAGTTGTTCAGATGTGGCTCTAGTTCAGGTGTTTTATTGTTCAGGTGTTGCTCATTGTTCAGATATGGCTCTAAATTACCTTCTAGATCTAATTCAAAATACGCCTTGATGTCTTAGAGGGTCATAGTGACTTATTTTACCCAAATTATCTAAATCTAATTCAAAAACGTTTTCTTTTATGTTTCCAGGGTGACGAGGTGATCCCAGAGGAGGGGTGGGACGGGATGAGACTGCAAGGGCGAACACTGAGAATGAAAGAGATCACATCACAAGACCACGGCTTTTACACCTGTACTGCCGTCAATGGATTCGGCAAGGAGACGTTTTCAATCACTCTTACTGTCAGCAGGTAGGTGTTTCTGTCTGTCTGTCTGTCTCTGTCTATGTCACACTACACCGTCACAGGTAGGTGTTTCTGTCTGTCTGTTTGTCTCTGTTCATGTCACACCTCACCGTCCGCTGGTAGGCTTCTGTCTGTCTCTCTGTCTATGTCACACTACACCGTCACGGGAATGCCTGACTGTTTTATACTCCCCTAGGACCACATCAGATGCAAGTGATGGTATGGTGAGTGTGGTATAGTGACCTTTTAAGAGAGTTGTATGGTGACTGTGAGAAAGTGGGAGTATGGTGACTTTAAGAGAGATAAAGAGGGGCTATGGTGACTGTAAGAGAGAAAGAGGCTATGGTGACTAAGAGAGAAGAGGAGGACTGTAGAGAGAAAGAGGGCTATGGTGACTGTAAGAGAAAGAGGGGCTATGGTGACTGTAAGAGAGAGAAAGAGGGCTATGGTGACTGTAAGAGAGAGAAAGAGGCTATGGTGACTGTAAGAAAGAAAGAGGCTATGGTGACTGTAAGAGAGAAAGAGGGCTATGGTGACTGTAAGAGGGGCTATGGTGACTGTAAGAGAGAGAAAGAGAGAGGCTATGGTGACTGTAAGAGAAAGAGGGCTATGGTGACTGTAAGAGAGATAAAGAGGGGCTATGGTGACTGTAAGAGAGATAAGAGGGCTATGGTGACTGTAAGAGAGAAAGAAGGGCTATGGTGACTTAAAATTCATCACATCAGACGTGTAGCAGTAACGCGTGTTGTGCTCTCACGGTGCAGTAGAGTTCTTCAACATAGACGCCATATTATGTCGTAGGTTGAGTAAGGGTCTCCTAGCTCCTTTAAGAGGGAAATTAGCTACGAGTCCTTGAGTGTTGAAGTCGAGAGGCACACGTTCCTGAGTGTTGAGGTCGAGGAGCATACTTGAGGGTCGACCTCAGTGAGCTGCCACCAACAACTGTCAAGGGGATGTACCCAGAGTGACCGACGAGGGGCCTAGTCTAGGGGTGATGATCAGTCACTATCACTGTGGAGCACCAGGAGATGACGGACCCAACATCAAACACTAACACCAACACACACCAACATCACCAACACTCATCAACACACACCAACACCACCATCATCACCATCACTCACCAACATTCACCAACACCTAACAAAACTCCAACACTCACCAACACACAGAACAGGTGTCTCTACGATCACATCAAGAATAACTCTCATGTCTGTGTGACTGCTTGCATGCCCAGTGTGTGTCTAGGAGGCTGTCAGACACATACATGTATTCCTTTGGATCAACAGACAAGACGAGAGAGGTGTGGTCGTTGGTGCACTCACCGTGACGGGAGAGCCACTGGACACATATAAGTAGAGTAAAAGATTATAGGATACCGTAGGTTAGGGCAAGGGCCTGTAGGGTAGGGTAAGGGGCGCAGGCAGGCATGAGCCAGAGGGCAGGGCATGTGGGCCAGCAGGGCAGGGCAAGGGGTCAGAGGGCAGGCAAGGGAGCCAGCAGGGCAGGATTGCTGAGCCAGAGGGCAGGGCAAGGGGTCAGCAGGGCAGGGCATGGAGCTGTAGGGCAGGCATGGGCCAGAGGGCAGGATTGCTGGGCCCAGGAAGTATGAGCTGCAGGGCAGGGTAAGGGGTCAGCAGGGCAGGGCATGGGGTCAGGCAGGGCAAGGGTCAGGAGGCAGGGGCAGAGGGACAGAGGGCAGGGTGAGGAGCCAGAGGGCAGCGGCATGGAGCCAGAGGCAGGGCAAGGGGTCAGAGGGCAGGGCAAGGAGCCAGAGGGCAGGGCATGGACAGAGGCAGCGCATGGAGCCTGCAGGGCAGGGAAGGGGTCATAGGGCAGGCATGAGCCTGCAGGGCAGGGGCATGAGCCAGGGTAGGCGGGAAGGAGCCAGGGCAGGGCAAGGGGTCAGAGGGCAGGGTATGGGCCTGTAGGGTGGTATGGGTCAGAGGGCAGGGCAAGGGTCACAGGCAGGGTATAGTCAGAGGGCAGGGCAAGGGGTCAGGCAGGGCATAACAGGCAGGGCAAGGGGTCAGCAGGCAGGCAAGAGGCCGCGGCAGGGCATGTGGGTCAGGGCAGGGCAAGGGGTCAGAGGGCAGGGCATGGGTCAGGCAGGGTGAGGGGTCATAGGGCAGGGCATAACAGAGGGCAGGACATACCAGAGGGCAGGGCATACTGCATGGCAGGGCATAACAGGGCAGGGTAAGGGGTCAGGGTGAGGTATAACAGGGCAGGGCAAGGGGTCAGTAGTGGGCAGGGCATGGAGCAGCAGGGCAGGGTGAGGGCCAGCAGGGCAGGGCAAGGGTCAGAGGGCAGGGCAAGGGGCCAGAGGCAGGGCATGGAGCCAGAGGGCAGGGCATGGGAGTTGCAGGGCAGGCGAGGGAGTCAGAGGGCAGAAGGAGGGAGCCAGGCAGGGGTGAGGGAGCCAGTAGGCAGGGGCAAGGGGCCAGGGCAGGGGTAAGGGGTCAGGGTGGGCAAGGGGTCAGGGTAGGTGAGGGGTCAGGGTAGGGTGAGGGGTCAGGGTAGGCACAACACTACAGTCACCAACACTCTACAGTATACAGTCACACATACAGTCAACACACTACAGTATACAGTCACACATACAGTCAACACACTACAGTATACAGTCACATATACAGTCACCAACACTCTACAGTATACAGTCACACATACAGTCACCAACACACTACAGTATACAGTCACACATACAGTCACCAACACTCTACAGTATACAGTCACACATACAGTCACCAACACACTACAGTATACAAACCGGAATTAAAAATATTCTCTGTTCCACTGCGTGTTGAATAAGGTTCTGATTGATATTTGATGTCGTGGAATCAAATTGGTTTTGTAAATAATATACGTATACAAACCCAGTGATGGTGTATAGGAGAACACAGAAAATACATAACTGAATATACGCGTGTGTATAACTGACGCCGTGTTTACCAATGGTCGCGGGTGTATTTGGTCTGAGTATATATGTGGGTGTAGGTTAGGTTAGGTTAGGTTAGGTTAGGTTAGGAATTTTTAACCTCGTCTAACACCGAACCACAAATAACCATATGAATTAAATTATTATTATGAGTTTTTACTGAACATAGACGAATAAATATCGAGTTAGTTTATCGTAAATTCCTTCCTTAAAAATATAGGTGAAAAAATAAGAAAAATGAGAAGAATTTATCACGTTAAGAAGATCAGTATTGGATTTATTCCATGGTGTGTGTGTGTGTGTGTGTGTGTGTGTGTGTGTGTGTGTGTGTGTGTGTGTGTGTGTGTGTGTGTGTGTGTGTGTCGTCAGCTATTCAGTACTACCAGCTATCATATATTTCTGCCGGGGTAATAAAGTGCTGCTCGTAGCCTTGAGGTTACCGTGTCTCCTGAAGAAAGAACCTGCACGAGATTCATGTGGTTTAATTGAACGATATATGGTGGTTTAAGTTACCGGTATATAGTGGTTTAATTGAACGATATATAGTGGTTTAATTTACCGGTATATAGTGGTTTAATTGAACGATATATGGTGGTTTAAGTTACCGGTATATAGTGGTTTAATTGAACGAGATATACTGGTTTAATTTACCGGTATATAGTGGTTTAATTGAACGATATATGGTGGTTTAAGTTACCGGTATATAGTGGTTTAAGTTAACTATATATATTGTGGTTTAATTGATCGATATATGGTGGTTTAAGTTACAATATATAGTGGTTTAAGTTGACGATATATGCTGTTTTAATTGGTCGATATATGGTGGTTTAAGTTAACATTATATAGTGGTTTAAGTTAACAATACATAGTGGTTTAAGTTACCGGTATATAGTGGTTTAAGTTACCGGTATATAGTGGTTTAAGTTACCGGTATATTGTGGTTTAAGTTAACAATATATATTGGTTTAAGTTAACTATATATAGTGGTTTAAGTTACCGGTATAAAGTTGTTTAAGTTAACAATATATAGTGGTTTTAGTTAACAATATTTAGTGGTTTAAGTTACCAGTATATAGTGGTTCAAGTTAACATTATATAATGGTTTAAGTTAACAATATATGGTGGTTTAAGTTAACAATATATGGTGGTTTAAGTTAACAATATATGGTGGTTTAAGTTAACAATATATGGTGGTTTAAGTTAACAATATATGGTGGTTTAAGTTAACAATATATGGTGGTTTAAGTTAACAATATATAATGGTTTAAGTTAACAATATATGGTGGTTTAAGTTAACAATATATAATGGTTTAAGTTAGCAATATATGGTGGTTTAAGTTAACAATATATGGTGGTTTAAGTTAACAATATATGGTGGTTTAAGTTAACAATATATGGTGGTTTAAGTTAACAATATATGGTGGTTTAAGTTAACAATATATGGTGGTTTAAGTTAACAATATATAATGGTTTAAGTTAACAATATATGGTGGTTTAAGTTAACAATATATGGTGGTTTAAGTTAACAATATATGGTGGTTTAAGTTAACAATATATGGTGGCTTAAGTTAACAATATATAATGGTTTAAGTTAATATATAATGGTTTAAGTTAACAATATATGGTGGTTTAAGTTAACAATATATAATGGTTTAAGTTAACAATATATGGTGGTTTAAGTTAACAATATATAATGGTTTAAGTTAACAATATATGGTGGTTTAAGTTAACAATATATAATGGTTTAAGTTAACAATATATGGTGGTTTAAGTTAACAATATATGGTGGTTTAAGTTAACAATATATGGTGGTTTAAGTTAACAATATATGGTGGTTTAAGTTAGCAATATATGGTGGTTTAAGTTAACAATATATGGTGGTTTAAGTTAACAATATATGGTGGTTTAAGTTAGCAATATAGAGTTAAGAAACAGAACCCCGACACACAGGTCAACAGGTGAGGTCACCGGCCATCCACTCTCATGGTTCACCTGAGAGATGCATCAGGTGAGAGTTTTATTACACTTACTTAGATTTCTTCCTCCCCCTCTTCCTGCCC